ACACACACACACACACACACACACACACACACACACACACACACACAGTGTCTGCTCCCTGTGAACTCATGAGGCTGAATTTGATGGTAAGAGTGCAGTTCAGAGAGGGATGTTTGCTAAAGAGATTGGTGACATCATAAAGAAGGTAAGAGCGTTACATAGGATGACAAAAAATAGCGTGAGGGCCTCTCAGGAATCCACGAGACCCCACCATCAGAGTGATAGGTACACACAAGCCGGGCTTCGGCACCTGTGAGATGGGGCCCATGAGGCACTGGCAATCTGTCGAGTATGATAGGGTTTGGGTTTGGTGTTTGCTCGGTGAGGTCCTTGGGACAGAGCCCATCTTGGTGCTGGCCTGTGTCAGTAGGCCTGCCCTCCCACATGGGACATCTACAGCTCTCTTTCCCGGGACACATCCTCCTGCCCCAGAGCTGATGTGTTCACTGAAGGACTCGTGCCTGGGCTAGAAGGAGGGGTGACCCTGTCCTATGGGTCTAAAAGTGTCACGACAGAGAGAGTCAATATCTTATATGATACAGTTAAGGAACACAGCAGAATGGACCAGGGACCTCTCAGCAGCTCTGGGATCCAACCCATGCCACGTCCACAGGAATTCACAGGTTACCATGCTTGCTTTGTGGAAACGGGACAAACTGATGACACCTAGTGTTCTCACTGCTCCTTCTGAAAATGCTGCCCGGTCCAGGAGGACCCCAAATCCACACTCACGTTCTGCATTTTAGCCCCTTCAAGGACCTTAGAACGTGTTCCCTTCAAAAGCACTTAATGACTTGGTGGTGTTGGGGATAAAGTCACTTTTCCTGGGGCTTTGAGCACCACAGGTCCAATTCTCCTGTGAAAGGAAGATGCACGAAAACCTCCATGGTCTTTCACAAACATCACTTTTATTCTAAGACTCATGGCAAACACATTAAGAAGCCTTATGTCTGCTAAGAGTAAGGCAGACATGTGCCCAGAGAAGAGGGGTCCGACATGGCCTGGGTAGACAGAAGGACTCTGTCTTCATCGGCCTTGGCAGGTTTTCAACTCCTGCCCCCTTACTAGGAATGCCTTCGAGGGGCAGTGTCTTTGCAGAATTCCTGCCACCCAGGATTCCATCATCTGCTCCCGTCCTCCTGGCTGGACCTCTGAGCAGGGCAACGGACACAGTGCATTGTGGGCTGTCTGCACGGTTCCATCCTGCAGGTCTCGGTCCATACCTGGGTCCTCTCCAGCACCATGACTGCAGAATTGTGGCATTCTGCATCCTCCGGAAAATCCTTAAGATCCAAGAACACACATGAAAGAAAGTCTTGTGACCTCAGCTACACAGGGCGTCTTCCCAGCTGTGGTCACCCTGCTCTGCACTGCTCTCCAAGCCTCCCCCTTCACCCCCATCTCCTCGCTCCCACCCCATATCACCTTTCTCCTCCCTCAGCACCTCCTCCTTTCCCCTCTCCTTTTTACTGTATCCTTCTAATTCAACATGTTAGATTTCCCATGCTCAGGATACAGTGAAAATTGTCTTCTGGGACGCTAGATACGTTGATAGGTTCCACTTAACCATACAGTACCTGGATCTAGCTTCCCAAAGCATTGGACCCTATAAACACACATTATTATGAGCTGTTCATTGAAATAGACATGAGTAAAATAGATACATTCAAATACAGAAAGATACCTGGGCCATGCCTGCTGCTTGTCATCACCAACGTGGAGAGGGTGCTCCTCATCCCATTGCAGTCATCAGCGTGGAGAGGGTGCTCCTTATCACATTGCAGTCATCATGTGGAGAGGGTGCTCCTTATCACATTGCAGTCATCATGTGGAGAGCGGGCTCCTCATCACACTGCAGTCATCAGCATGGAGAGGGTGCTTCTCATCACACTGCAGTCATCAGCGTGGAGAGGGTGCTCCTCATCACATTGCAGTCATCATGTGGAGAGGGTGCTCCTTATCACATTGCAGTCATCATGTGGAGAGCGGGCTCCTCATCACACTGCAGTCATCAGCATGGAGAGGGTGCTCCTCATCCCATTGCAGTCATCAGCGTGGAGAGGGTGCTCCTTATCACATTGCAGTCATCATGTGGAGAGGGTGCTCCTTATCACATTGCAGTCATCATGTGGAGAGCGGGCTCCTCATCACACTGCAGTCATCAGCATGGAAAGGGTGCTCCTCATCACATTGCAGTCATCAGCATGGAGAGGGTGCTCCTCATCACACTGCAGTCATCAGCATGGAGAGGGTGCTCCTCATCACATTGCAGTCATCATGTGGAGAGGGTGCTCCTTATCACATTGC